TAAAAAAAAAAACGTTAAAGAAATGTTATAGTACGTTTTATTAAATGTTTTTATAGCATTTATTAAATAATTTAGAAAATGGATAAAACTTTAAACATTTATTTTTCAGTTCATTATATGATTTTTAATGATAAAGGATATTTATTAAACTGTCGCTATAAAATTTTTTCGCGCGAAAAAGGTACGCGTAATTGTGTTTATTCTTACATACTGTTACTTTGCACTGTTTAATAGTTTAATGTTGTTTCCGTAAAAAATAAACTTTATCGTCGTAATTTTTATTTCACTCAAAAATCTAAAGTGTGAAATAATCCACTTTATGGATTCGTGAGATCGTAATTTAATTTCTTGATGATGAGGAATGGATTAAAAATAGTTTCAAAAAATTTTCCAGATTTTTAACCGTCGAAAAAGAAGAAAGAAATTCACAGTTTTTAATATACAAATAATAGAATTATTTACAATGTAATTTATATTATTACATCAATATTAAAAATAATTCATCTACAACTCTTTTGACGGTATATCAATTATTTTTCGTCCTAATATTTATACAAATAAATCAAATAATTTACTTGTGTTATTTATATACTTTAAATACTTGTATTATAATTTTCAAGTTCCTGAAATAATATTATAGTTATTAAAAGTTTTAATATATGTAAAATTCTTAATTAATAATAATAATAAAAATAAATTTGTAAATTAACTTTTTATTTGTTAATTAATATTACCTTTAAAGTCTTATATTAAAAAAAATTTTATCCGTTCTAATCTCCTTTCCAATGTCAGGCAGTTTTTTTTCTTCGAATGCAGCGTTTCGATCCGATCGATCGATCAGCGTCGAAAGTTCGCGAGAAAGGCCGCGGCGATTCGACGTATGATGCCATCAATTGGAATAGTTTTAATCAACTTAACGGGCCGGAATTTATAGAGCGTTCGCAGAAACGGGTCGCCCGCGTTATTCGCGGCACTTTAATCGAATAAAAAGCCACCGCAATACCTAGAACGGATAACCGATGGCGAGCTCTCCTGCTCCCTGTAAAATATGACGATTCTGAATCATCCACGTGTCGACGATCGAGGATTCTCGCCTAAGGATTCGGAAGTCTCGCGATTCTTCTTTTCTTCTTCTTCGTGGATTTTCAGACCTAAGGACCGTAAAAAAGCTGATAAAAAATGAAACAACCATTTTTATTTTTCAATATAATCATTTTTTATATACATTTTGTAGAACGACGAATAAATTTTTTTATGTCACTAAAAAATATCCTGATTTTTTTGTCTTTAAAATAGTATTAATTACTTTGCAAGCTCCGGCTTGGCCTCTAATAATGATTATTTTTTATTTTAAAATATGAAATCTGATTGGCGTGAAAAAATTTATCAATAATAGAGATGTGGTCTCGCAGTGTTGAACCATTTTAAGAAATTCAGATTCTTTTTTTATACGTATAAAAGAAATTAATTCATTATTAATTAATATTATTTTTAAAAATTCCATTCATTTTTCTAAAAAATTACTGAAATAAAGGATGATTATATATTGAAAAAAATGATTGTCCACTTTATCGTCCTTTATGTACCTTGAGCCGGAAACCTAATTACTGCATCGCCGGGGACGTGGAATTGCGGGGATGCGTCTCTTGGTTGGTCTCCCCGGCGCGGCGGTTCGGTGGATCGTGGGACCCGCAGAATGCGACTCGCCTCGTTTCACCTCGACGCTATCGATTGTACCACGCCGCGGTGGGTATCGCGAACACGCGATTTATTCGGTAAAGCGTCTGGCAAATTGCGGAGAAAGCGGCACCGGGTCGACGCGCGCGATCGCCATAAATGTCATCGCGAGCGCGTAAACGTCGGGGGGCACGAGCGTGCGTGCCCCTCGATCCCGCTGGACGCCGGCCAGCGCGGCGGCGGGAGGAAGGGTGTGAGGGAGGATGCGGAAACGAACGACGAAAGGGTTGAAAAGCTGTCGTGTTTTCGGCCGGCTCACCCTTCGCGGATCAGCGCAAATCGAGCTTTAATAAACGATAACATTGTACGTACACGCTTGAAAACATCCGGTGCTTTCCGGTAAAAAAAAAAAAAAAAAAAAATAATAATAATAATAATAATAATGTCGGATTCATTGTTTTGCGAGAAAATGACAGCGACGAGTAATAAAGGTTATTTTCGAGAATATCGATGGACCGTGCATACCTCAAAGCTATCGTTACGTACAAAGTTTTTTCTATCGAAAAAAAAAATATATGAAAGGCTTATCTATTAAACCATCTACGAACTTGTCTCGCCCTCCCTCTTTCTCTTTCTTTCTTTCTTTCTCTCTCTTGGCGCTAACGCGAGACCTTTTGAGTACGGAATTTGTACCACCGCTATAACGCCGTATTCGGTCTTGTAAGCCGCTGAGAACGATATTACACGAGTTTCCCCAACTTTTCGCGTTTCCGCGAATTCGTGGGCAAGTTCGAAAAATCGTAGGTATCTCGCGAAAACCGGAGGAACAATTCCGCGAGGCTGTCGACAACCCACGAGAACGGATTTCTTCTACGTGACCGTAAAACTGAAACACTTGCAGCACGCAGCAATATCCAAAATCATCTGTTAATTGTTTAATAAATCTTGTCTATTTTCTCTCTCTTTCTCTTTCCTTCTCTCCCTTTCCTCGTTTTACACGAAACGCGCGCGTCGAATGCTTCTCGAGCTTCGTCCACTCGCTCACGTTCCGAAACGCGGAATTTATTTGTTTGCCGCGTCCGCGGTTCCCTTTTGTTGCGCGCCGCGGGCGGGGACGGCGGCGCGGCGGCGGACCGGCCGTCCCGAATGAATGAAATTACGCGGTGAGAATTAATTGTGCGGGGCAAGTCGTCGTCGGGCCGGGCCGGCCCAACCCGGCCGTGCTCGTAATTAAATTAGCACAGCGAAATGTTCCGTGCGTTAAACGATTGTGTAACCGACGCGGGCGGCCGCGGCGACAGCGGCGGCGGATCCCCGCACTCTTTCGCGGCTTTCGTTGCACCGCGAAACCGTGCCGCGCCGCGAATGAAACGCGCGCGCCTTTGTTTCCCCCTTTTTTTTATTCTTTGCGCGAAAGGGGAAAGGGAGGTTGCCCATGCGTCCGGTCGACAGGAACTGGCCGCAAAGAAAAAAAAAGAAAGAATTTGTAGCGCCGCGCGACGAAAAACGCACGCGCACCTCAATGCATTCTAGATTGCGGAACGCGAATGGCG